TATAATATATATATATATATATATATATATATATATATATATATGAGCGATCAAATGCAAACCACTCAATTTGTACAAATCATGCAAACCACCCTTATCCGTCGATTTCATTGTTTAATCTTATGAATTTTTTTCATGAAATTATTTAATCTTGTGAAATTGTTTCATATAATACTTTTTATGATGAAGTTGTTTCATATATGGTTATGGAATTGTTTCATATAATACTTAATCAAAATTTTAATGAAACTGTTTTATGTATTTCTCCAAAATTAAAATAATGAAGATGATAATATTCATGATTAACACCCTCCACAATAAAAATGATTAATGAACCTCTCATAATTACAAAAAATGAACAAAATGAAAAATTATGATTGGTTGAATGAGGTTTGCACGGTTTGTACAAATTGGATGGTTTGTATTTGATCGCTCCTCTATCTCTCGATATATATATATATATATATATATATATATATATATATATTTGTGTGTATGTGTGTAGCCAAAGGTTATTTTGAGAAGTGGAAAATATTTGAGAAGTAAATAAGTGATTCTAGCCCTTCATACGGTCAAGATTGGATTTGACTGGTTAAAAATTGCACCTATGCGAAAAATAGAAGAAGTAGTTTCGTAACTTTTACAAATAGACGGCAAACGAGTTCATATGTGATTCACATATGAACTTATATATTCATATGTGAACCCGTGTAATTCACATATGAACTTATATGTTCATATGAGAATTCGTATAATTCACATATGAACTATTTTAACTGATTCACATATAAACCCGTGCGATTCACATATGAATTAATTAACGGATTCACATATGAACCCGTACAATTCATATATGACTAATTAACTGACTCACACATGAACCTTTGTGATTCATATATGAACTAATGAACTGGTTCACATATGAACCCGTGTGATTCATATATGAACTAATTCACATGTGAACTTGTTGGTTCATATATGAATCAATTAAACAGTTCACATTTGAACTAATTAACGGGTTCACATATGAACATATAGTTTATATGTGAATCAAATGGGTCCCATTTGCCACCTATTTGTAAAAATTACGAAACTACCCCCTTCATATTTCGCATACCCATGCGAGGAGTTACACAGTGATTCACGGTCAAACCCGCAAATATTAACCAGATGAAGGGCTAGGATCACTTCTCTATTCTCAAATATTTACCACTTCTCAAATGAACCTTTCCATATATACACTACAAGAAAAATAACCTTTAGAGAAGATTCTGTTTTGTACTTAAAATTCTCAAAAGCTTCTCTAAAGGTTTTAGAGAAGCTTTTCATTTCCGTCAACAAGCTTCTCTATGTAAGGGTAGGTAAAGGTTTTAGGGA